TGCATATTTAGAACTGAAAATTAATCCTTTTATTAAAAAAAGTTTACATATGTCATCACTATTGAGCTGAGTTCCTATATAAAAAAAAAAGGGAGGAGGAGTCCTGTAATTTTATCTAGAGTAGTTCAAAGTGTTTAGAATAATCCTTTAGTATGAGTTCCATGTTTCCCATTATGTCTTCATTTAATTTGATTGCTCCTCGTGCCACTTCAAAGGAAAGTGTAATTGTTGCCAAATAGGAAATATCAAAATTAAATTTGTTCTGCTTTTACTGCGCCCATTGTCATCTTTTCTTCATTTAGGAGGAGAGCAATAAAAGGCCTACAACGGGTGCAACGAACAGAGAGTAGTTTTCAATCAGACAAGTCCCACATTGAGTATCAGATGCCACAACGGAGGACTAAAATCACTGTGTCTAGACTCTCTGGCACCTGACTTCACTTATTTACCAGTGACCAGAGGCCAACCCCCACTGCTTTCTTTTCATACACCTCAGTCCAGTTCTCTCTATCCCCAGCTCACACATCTTTGAATGATTATGCCAGACCTGCATGCCTCCAGAATCTCCTCTGACTGGCTACTCCCTAACTATAATGTTTGAAGTAAAGCTCTGGTTTCTGAACTTCAGCAGATAATCGAGGACAAAAGCTAACGGGGCTGTCAAGTGAGGACGTTTACCAGCATTAAGCTAAAAAAGTAGCCTACAGATCAAAGAGGAGCCAAACAGACAAGCATAGTGGAAAACATGTGGATAAGTCAGCTGCAGCTTGCCTACTATTCTGTGGAAGAATATTGAATATCGCTATGACATCACTGCACAGCCATGCTCTTTGATTGGCCAGACTATTACCTATAAATGCTGTTACAAACATATGGTTTATATTTGCACCTATTTAAATAATGCATGCAATGCTGGGTCTAAACAAGAATGGACTTTTAACTCTAACTACAATTAATCCAGAGAAGGCATGAGAATGTTTTCCAGTGATACTGCATACTTATTAACTATTAAAATGTTGCAAAACAATCCTATGAGCCTACAAGTTGCATATCTGAAACAAACAGAACTTTGAAAACAGAAATAAGCAACACACAGTCTATTTGGCACTTCTGTACAGCCTGCAGAATTATGATAAACTAGAAGCTCATAATTTCCATTTCTCAAAAGGAAGACTGAAGGTCTCAATCACATTTTTTTATGATAGCTATGCAAAAATATGGAAACAAAAGTAAACATCTATTTGGGACTATTTCTAAATATAAGTATTATCAATAACCAGTGCCTCCACAGAGCAATGGTCACAAACAAGTACAGGTAGCCCTCATTTAGCAACCATAATTGGGACTAGCAACTCATTTGTTAAGCAAAGCAGTCGCCAAGTGAAACTGCAACTGCGCTTATGACCTTACTTCAGCTTTCCTTTGCTTTACAGACCTGCGAAGATTGTAAATGCGAGGATTGGTTGCAAAGTTACTTCTTGATCACTGTTGTATTGCGAGCAGCAGCTGTACAAGAAAGTCACTAAACGAGGACTACTTGTATTTTTAAGGCTATTCAGAAGTACTACCAAGATATATTCCTGTTGGATATGAACAAAAGAATTGGCAAGCGATGTAAATATAGTCTACATTGGAGAGAAGATTCTGATCAATTTACTTGCAAATTATATGCTTTTATTTATTCATTGATCAAGGCATAGACAAATAGATCTCTATTCAGACCAATTTATTTAACAAGTAAATAAGAAGGAGAGAAGGTTAAATATAAGGGGGGAAAACAGCTACAGATACACTGGCAAAAATGAGTTCAAATTACCAAAGAGCCATTTACCAAAAAACAGCTTAGGCATTAACTCTATTTTAATTTATAAGTGTTGCCATGAAAAAAAAAAAAAAAGAAAGAAAATTTGAATATTTCCTATTTTAGACTAAAGTCCATAATAAAAATGAATGTCTTAACATGAATTTTCTTTTTGTTTGTGTTATAAATATTTATGAACTTCAAAGTTGAAAAAAGATACAGTTTTTTTGAAACGAGTAAAAAAACTAAATATGGCAGCTTATCACTCTACTCCTTTTAGAATAATAAGAACGTCAGTATCTAAATCAATATTTCTAAGCCACAATATTTTCTTTTTAAAGGGGGGTTTATTATTGCAATCAGAAAATACTTAATATTCTGATGTGGATTAAAATATATAACAGCAACTAAATCTAAAGGAAGCTTCTTCCCATACATAACTGTTGGGAGAGATAGTTTCCAAAGGCTCTTCTTTAGTCCCTCCTGTCTGCCCCCCCCACCCCACCCCAGTGAAGGCAGATTCTATAAGACAGGGTCTTCTCAACTGCAGCACTAGGCATATGGAATAACCTTCCAAAGAAGCCTCCCACATGGCCTGATTCCTAAAAGAGAATCCTCTTCTTCCAAGCATTTTAGGTTTCAAACATCACTTTCACTTTATTGTCATATTCATCCAGACAGCGCTGACATCTGAAGTGATGCTTTCAACAGATACTTCAGCAGATTTTAACAATTCAACTGTGAAAGTTTTAACAACTGATTGTAAGGATGGCCAATTGACAGATTAAATGATAATAAATACATAAATAAGTTGCATGAGGAGACTGCTTTCAGTGTAACGTGACACTACATACAATTATTCCAAAAAATAAACTATTTGTCATAACAAGAAAATAGATTTATGTAGAGGAAAATAATGATACTCCAGACATAAGAAAGGTTTAAATGTGAAAGACAAGAGGGCGGCTCATCCAGGTAGGTGACATAGACGGTTTTTTAAGAGTCACAAGTTAAGCACAGTGCCACATTTCTAGGACAATGAACACTGATGTTTGTATATGCCCCTGGGGCTTCAGAGTGCAGGCAGTGCTTGCATGGTTTGCCTGGGGGGTGAGTTGCCAGCAGCTGGTCTAGAGTCATAGCTGTGCCTTACCCACAATTCTGAGAGGAAATAGCTATTATTTAATTATTTTCAATCACATGATTAATATCCACTTTGAACAATAAACTTAAAGTTCTTTATTTCTGAATGGGATAGTGCTCCTCCAGACAGGATTAGTACACAATTTGTGGGTCCTCCTGGACTCACAGCTCCTGCTCAAAGAGCAGGTAGCAGCTATGGCCAAAAATGCTTTTGCCCAGATTCATGTGGTACACCAACTGTGCCCTTTCTTGGATTGAGATTCCTTTCTGATAGTCTGTTATGCCTTAGTCACCTTGCATGTGGACTGATGCAATGCATTCTACACGGGGCTGCCTTTGAAGACCACTTGGAAGCTGCAGCTGGTCCAGAATGCAGTACATAAGCAACGAGCTGCACTGGTTACCAGTAACATTCAGTGAAATTCAAGGTGCTGGTTGTAACCTATAAATCCCTTAATAGTATGGGCCTGACCATCTTTCTTCCATTGCTTCTCCCTATTTGATAAGATCTGACAAAGTAAACATGCTCCAGGTCCCATCTTTAAAACAATGTCTTCTAATGGGACCTAGGCAGCATGCCTCCTCTGCTCCAGCACCTGCCCTCTGGAATAGTATCCCAGCAAAACTTCTAGTTGCCTCAAAACTGCTGTCCTTTAAATAGGTTTGAAACCTGGCTCTTCCTCCAAGGAAGCATATGCCTTGGTGAGAATTTTATTCTGTTAGGTGTATTAGTCCCAGTGTTTTTGCCTTTGTTTTATTTTTATTGTACTGAATGTGTTTTTAACTTGTATGCTGCCTAAAGTCATTATAAGTTGGGCAGCCTATAAATCTGATAAATAGATGGAAGATTCCATCCAGTTAATACAAAATTTTATTAGATTTAGTTCAAAGCTGCAAATTTGTAGAACTGTATGAAGAAATATTAAAGCAGCTCTGAAATACAGCCCTATAGTAATGAAGTAGAATATGAATTATACTGTTTTCAGGGCTTAATCAAAACATCCTAGAAATATGAGATTATCATCTTATGTACGCTTACAAGAAAGTATGCTTCACTAAACTCAGTGAGGCTTATTCAGCATCATGAATCAACATTCATGATGCTGTGGTGTGTGTATGTGTGGGGGTGGGTGAGGGGGGGTGGGAGTGGTTGTGTGTGTATTCCTAATACTGTTATACATCTTATTGCTGATATGTTGAACTATAGGCACTGAAAAAAGCAAACATCCATTAACATATCTAAAGTTTCAGAATGCCTTTCATAGTAAAAATCTGAATGCCTAAATGTTTGTAACATGCAACAGAACCCATTAATAATACCACAAATTCATAACAACATTGTATAAAAGATATATTTCACACTGCCAAAATTTGTGGTAGGATTTCCCCATTTATGTATCAAAATTTCACTACAGAATATGTAGTAAACACAGGACCTGATCCAACCTAAATGACACTGTTTACAGTGAACCAAGACCTCTGAATGACTGGACTTCGAAAATACTAAACAAAGGTTAATTTGTGCAATAATTAGATTAATCTTGTACATATATATACTAAAAACTGATATGTAACTGGAACAGAAAATTATCAACAAAGCAGAATTACCAACAGAATAAATGATTTGAATTTCAAGAACATTACATTATTGAACATAACAATCCAAACTAGTGCCTTTATTGAGAAATGGATGGAAATGTAAAGTTACGATGACGTCAATGTAATATAAACATCTCAAGAGTGAAGTAGGATAAATAAACAGATTCCCAAAATCTTCCCCGAGATACTTCTAAAATACTTTTTAAAAAAGACTTGTTTAAATACTATCATTATAATTTAAATAGTGCAACCATAATGAAAAAAAAATAGTGCAGCATTTGCATGTAGAATGGAAGGATATTCAACAAAACTGAAAGGACACAACCAGCTACAGAATTAGTATCATACTGCTCTGCCCTTAAGTTTTACTTGGAGACCCACCGGCTGCTGACCCTTGCTTTAATTTAAGGACTTTCAAGATAGAACTAGTATGAAAGAAAAAACATACTGTACCTACCTGAGGTATACAGTCGGTATAAGCAAACATTGATTTAAAACGATCATCCATGCTTATATGATAGAGAATACACATAGCTACTTGTTTATAATTTTCATTTCCTGGGGGAGGAGGAAAGAAAAACACACAAAAATGAGCATCTATATGGATTAGTCACATCTGATTTATATTTAGTCACATTTAGAAACTATTTTCAAAGCATATTATAGAAGGAACAGTCTTTTTCATGGTTATGACTTTTTTTAAATAAAAGATTTTCAAGGAAACCTCATACTAGGAAGACAAAATCAAAGGAGCCAGTTTAGAGATAAGCTCATACACAGATAAGCCAACCTTGAATTTTTAACCAAAATACCATGAAAACTACACCAACCACAGCTAAGCTGACCCTCAACATTTTCATATGTTTTGATTCTCACAATTGGCTTATCTATGGATGGTAGATTTTTCATGGTATTTGGGTTAAATATTTGAGGGTCGGCTTATCTGCAGATGGACTTATCTGTGAGTGTATGAGGGTACTTTAAAAAAAGTTACTGCATATACTCACAGATAAGCCCATCTGAGAATAAGCCAAACCCAATTTTGGGGGTGTATTCTGGAGCCTAAAATTCTCAGCTTATCCGCGAGTATATACAGTATATATTCTGTTTACTTTCCACATAGATATTTTTCCTTTAGAATAAGCTAGGTCTAATATTGCAAGAATATTGGTACTGTAAATCACCAGTTATTTTCCCTTTTATTAGCATCCCTTGCTTCCTCATGCCATCAATTTAAACAGCCTAGTAACCAAGAGCTTACAATTTACTAGTTCCAAGAATAAGATTTGGAAAATCTGATAAAGGGTTGTATACAGAGCAAAGTGGGCAAATAAGATTCCTTGTGTAGACCAGTCAGAACTACTTTGGGCACAATTTAGTTAAATGTTTTGGATTGGAATCAATGGAAATGAAAAGTACCTTACTATACCTTACTACTTTATAGAAAAACTCTCTAAAATTATACCTTTCTAAGCATAGAATAGAACATACACATTACTTTTACAATGAATGCAGAAATTTGGGTGAAGATACTTTTGCATGTGATCCTACAATATTCTTATTCAGAAACATTTGCCCTCAAGTTTCAGATAATGAAAATACTCTTGAACACTCACTATGGAAAGTTTGTATCATATTTCTGAAACGCATACTTACCTTCATGTAAGTAAAAAAAAAAAAACTAATGAGATTCTCAATATTCTAACAAAAACATTTCTGGAGCTATGTTCAGTCCTTAACCCTAAGTTATGTAGTCTTATCGAACTGTCTGTTTCTCATGTTTGATAAAGGATCTTATTTCTCTTCTAGATATGAAAATGTACCTTTAAAAGGCAAAAAAATAAAAATAAAAATTCACTATATCCCAGTTTTATAGCCATGTTTTTGATCTGAATGTCTGGAAAAAAGCAAGCAGAAAGTATGGGTATTAGTCTGCTTTAAACTTGTTTTTTCAAGTACAGGGGCCTAATTTAAAAAAAAAAGATTATTTAAGTTTCAGTTTATTTTTCAATTATCATAATTTGGAAGAAGATATGAAATAAATTGTGGGAGAGGAATTAGAATGGGACTGGTGGAAGGTGCAAGTCTGAGGGGTCTGTCATTCTCTCCATTGCATCATTTGCCAATGAAGGCCAGAATAATCAACAGTCTCCTCCGGCACTCTCCATCTAATACAAAAATTAGATTTCCCAGGAACCCATTGCAGGAAATGATCAGAAGAATATTTCTGAAACTAATATGTCTCTGGTTTGTAATGAGGTTACCAAAATACAGGTTGTTAGCAGTAACCTGTCCACCATTCTGCACAAGTATGTCAGTATTTACCATAGGACGTTTGGTATCACAGTGCTACTATCATTTGTTTTATGTTACGTGAGACTCAACAATAAGAGAGCAACAGCCAGAAGAGCAAAAGTCCACTGACACATGACTCAACACAAAAACTAGATTCAGCTGTAAATAGGGTCCAAGATTACCAAATAAATAAATAAATAAATAAATAAATTCAAAAGGGATAGGGAGAAAAATATCAGAAAAACCTTCATTAAAATGCCTCACAGAGACAAAATTTACAAACCACAGACTAGCCTGGGCCCTAGAAACAAACATCCTGGACATTATGCATTATAGCAATAAATCTGAATAGTGATGAGCTCACTGTCTAATAAATGCAGTGGTCAGAAATACTTACCACAGGAATTTTTCATTAGCTAACCAAATAATTAATGTGAAGTTGCATTCAATTGTCCTTTGCATTCATAGTGCCATTCTAAAATATTTGCTCATTCCCAGATGAGCGCAATTAATCTTCAACACACTAGTCATTAGTAGCCATAACTGACTTTTCTGTGTAACGTATTACCATTATAAAATATACTCAGTGGTTTATAGAAATAATACTGTTTAAATTTGCAGCTGTAGTTCATCTGGAACAGCTGGGGTAGAAAAATATTATGTCCCTTGGGCTGTTTTCACACTACATTTTCAACAAATTTAAAGTGCCAACTATACATATCTTGGATCTCAAGTTCAAAATTATTCTAAGCCTTTGAACAGTAAGCCACGAAACAGCAGTTGTGGAGCAGAACTATTTTATTCTGCTCATTAGCATACCACCCCTACAATTTTAAGGCTAGAGTTTCTGACTTGGGGCTTGCCAGCCTCATTCATCAAAGCCAGTTTGAAGCATCTGACCTACAGAATGCATTGCAATGACTGAAAACTCATGCATATATGCTTCTGAAGAATTAAAAATGCATCAAAAGAGATATTTTCCTGCCACTGCTAGCTATATGAAATGCCTTCTCTTGCTGATCTCCATACTGCCTTCGACCATTCCCACATAGACAATGACTGGGTTCATACATGGGCTCATACATTATATTTACCCATAATTGTTTGGTTTTGACTTGGTATGATGTGTGACTTCAGGTACTGTGATGTATACACAATTTTTGAAATCAGCCATCTGCAAATTCAGTGTCCTCTAGCAATAGTTCAATTCCCCACCTCTTAGCAATGGTCATGCTGGCTAAGGAATTATGGAAGTTGCCCATACTTCCAAAGGTACCTAAGCTGGGGAAGCTGGTTTAAGTCAATGGTGAGTTCAGATGATATAGACGAGATCGCTGTAAGTAAAGTGCACACTTCTGGAAGCCAGCAGAGTCTTGTTTCTGCCCCCGACTTTGCTGGCCTTCCAGAAGGGCCTGAACACATACATGGCTTTGCCACCTGGCCTGGGGTGTGGTAATGGTAGTGTGGAGCCTGCAAATTGGCTGTATTGTTAGTGAAACTGACTGAGCTGTCCTGCTGTTTTTATGGTTTTAATAGTTTTTACTGTTTTGTTTTTAATGTTTTTGTTGGATTTTGTTGGTTATTTTTTGTTATGTTTTTGTGTTTTTAACTTTACTATGTGAGATGGGTGGCTACATAAATTGAACAAACGAATTACTACTGTTATATGTGAAATGCCTGCTGGCTCAGTTAAAGTTTGGAAAACGGAATATTGCCAACTATTTTTTACTTTCAGAATCCCCCAAAGTTGACATTAAAAACTACTCAACAATGTGATTTTAACCACTGTCTTTCTCCTATCTAGTAGTACTTTCTACTACTATGTAGTAGTATTGGATATGCTTTGAATTAAGTGATTTAGCACATCAACAAGAATGGACAGCCTTTTTGTAATCATGGTTTGCACAATTTTTTTTTTTGTTAAACCATTTTTTGATCTCTGATGACCACAGGAGTCATGAATGTGATGCAGCAATGACACTAGAGATTAGATTCAGAGATTTGTGAAAGTTGGTAGGGTTGTTTGAAGTAAATAAGATTTGTGGATCCTACCAAATGTTTAATGCACCTACAATTCCACATTGCTTTGGTTGCTTAAAGGAAAAAAATCACACCACCATAACTCATTAATAAAATATTGAATTCAGCAGCATGATTTAAGGTCATAGGAATTGTTAGAAAGGGATTACAAAACATAAGAGGTCCAGGACTACAGGTTGTTCCATCCTCCTTAGAAACGTACATTAACTTTGGTGGAAGGTACATCACCAGTTAGGTTTCTTTAAATGTGCACAGCTGAAAAAAGTTAATAGTTGTTATTATCATCTATTTAAATCTATATATTTAAATAAATAAATCTACTACTCCTGTTTGGGAGATAAAAGAGTTTGCTGTAACTGTTTTGGAAGAAAATATTTAATACTTTGAAAAACAATTTATTTAGATTTAGCGAGCAAAGCCACTAGCTGTGGAACTATCTAGATATACCAAAATATCCAACAGTGTAACTAAAATGGGACAGAGCAACAGGCAAAATAGAAAGAGAAAGGGAGCACACTCATGCTATGTCCTATACTGCATTTTTCTTATCCATTAACCTTAAAGCTTAATACAAAGCATTCCTCCTTCTCTCCCTCATTTTTATAATGTATTTTTCACTGGTGAAGTATGTAGTCCTGGTGTTATTTTAGAATGTCCCCAAATTGAGGTTTTGATTAATAAAGTGCTTCCAAAAGGCATCAATGTTTGATTGAAAATCCTAGCCTATAGTCTGAAAATACATGTATGATTTCCCATCAAAAGGGACACTTACGTTCTGTAACTCCCATTCATACTCAAATAACAATGTTTTGCTAATGCGGTTGCATAAGCATGGACTTACCACTACTCTTGCCATAACATCATTCATTTCAGCAACTTCAAGCCTATATAGATTTTATTTAGTGAGATGGTTGTACTGTACGTGAGATTTTGGTGTAGTCTCCTGTGGTCTTATTTATATTTCATTTGTTTTTAATAGTCATTTAACATTTGTTTTGCTTATTTTATTGTATGCCACCCAGAGACACATCAGTGAGATGGGCAGCTATATAAATTTTAGATAGACAGACAGACCAACAGACAGATGTAATCAAGGACTTGGGGGGGGTAACATTTATTACATGCATGCTTCATAACAGCACAAATCCACCTTCAAAATAAATCTCTGAATATTTACTATGATCTGCAGACCAATTCTTTTATTCATTATATGATCCAACCAATTACTGCTAGGAAGAAATGGACACCTCAGGCAATATTCACACACAAAATATTGAAACCAGCTGTGGCAGAACTGCTGTAGGAATGAAGGTTTCTCCATTTAATTGGGAAAACAGGAGGAATCATAACATTTTACTGCTGTGAGTAACTTCAAGCAATCTTGATAAGATATTGCTGAACTCAAGGCAGGACATGTGCTTTCTGTTATGATCTGCTGCATCTAACTCTTACTGTTTGCTCACTTAATCAGCTTGGAAAATGCATGTTTCTTTATAGGATAAATTAGACTAAATTAGAAAAACATTGCTGCTGTTAATAAGCAGCTCCTTTCTCATAGACATGTGTAAACTGTGTGCTTAACATGCAGTTTTAAGTTCAATATGAAAAGGACATAAAGTTTTTTATAGCTTTTTGAAAAGACCATCCATAAAAATAACAGAACGTTAATAAAAATTAAAAGATACCATAGTCGAGACAGGTGAGGAACAATAAAAAGTAATACATAAAATGAATTAACATAGCAATTTATAATGATGCTTAAATGTTTGTGAACCCTTTAAATTTTTCAATATTTCTGCATAAATATGACCTAAAACATGATATGTTCTCCCCACAAGTCCTAACACCAGATAAAGAGAACCTAATTAAACAAATGAGTCAAAAACATTATACTCATAAATATTCATTTATTTATTGAGGAAAATGATCCAAAAAATAAAACATTTTATTGATATAATAAGATGAAACAAACAATTGATCTTGTGTTTCAGCAAAAGCAGCATTTCCCCACTCATCTGATTAGGGAGAATGAAAAAAGATAATATGGACAAAAGAATCATTTACAGCAAGGGGTGACACAGAGTTCCAACTTTAAAATGTCAATGACAAAATTTTTGTGAAATCTTGGACTGATTATCAAAAAAAATTCTGTAGAGCCCTGACTTCAAAAAATAATTTACTGTCCAGTAAAATTTCACCTTTTAAAGAAACACCTATAAGAATTTGTAGAGATCAAATTGCCAACATTCGCTGGATCATGGAGAAAGCACGAGAGTTCCAGAAAAACATCTACTTCCCATGAACCATATTGCGCCAGGCCTTCCTGTCCTTCACTGTCTCCCTGAGTTTGCTCAGTTTCATGGACATTGCTTCAGCGATGCTATCTAACCATCTCATCCTCTGCCGTCCTCTTCTCCTTTTGCCTTCAATCTTTCGCAGCATCGGGGTCTTTTCCAAAGACTCCTCTCTTCGCATTAGGTGACCAAAGTATCTGAGCTTGAGCTTCATTATCAGTCCATGAACCATATTGCGCCAGGCCTTCCTGTCCTTCACTGTCTCCCTGAGTTTGCTCAGTTTCATGGACATTGCTTCAGCGATGCTATCTAACCATCTCATCCTCTGCCGTCCTCTTCTCCTTTTGCCTTCAATCTTTCGCAGCATCGGGGTCTTTTCCAAAGACTCCTCTCTTCGCATTAGGTGACCAAAGTATCTGAGCTTGAGCTTCATTATCAGTGAGTCTTTGGAAAAGACCCCGATGCTGGGAAAGATTGAAGGCAAAAGGAGAAGAGGACGGCAGAGGATGAGATGGTTAGATAGCATCGCTGAAGCAATGTCCATGAAACTGAGCAAACTCAGGGAGACAGTGAAGGACAGGAAGGCCTGGCGCAATATGGTTCATGGGTCACGAAGAGTCGGACATGACTTAATGACTGAACAACAACAATAAGAATTTGTAGAGATTGGCATGTTCTGATAACTGCTACGTAACATGTATTTTCTTATTTTGGAACAAGATCTCAAATATATTATCTTACGTGGAATTAGTTTTACACTGTTCTAGAAAAATCAGTTTCTTAATATTCAATGCATGTCTGACACAAAAAGAATGGTCACTGTTTTGAAATCTGAAGTATCACTACAAAAAATAAAAGGAGGGGTCAAGATTGGAACAACACACTGGGATGTTTATACCAGTTATTTCCAGTAGGTTGCTCTGCAATACCAGGATACCCTATTGAAGCATCAGTTAAATTCTTCCTGATATGTAGAAGGGGTTTAGCTGTTAATTCAGTTGAGTTTTTATTTTTTATTCTGTTTTATTTTGCTTTATTGCTGCAGGGTGATGGGCGAGATCAGGTTTTGTAGCAATAATCTCTCCTGATTATTTCGTGAATTTGTAATATTTTGATATTAGAAGTTGGGTGCTAGAAACCTGCTAGATGAGGTAAAAGTTAGAAGAGATCATCTTGTTTCTTAGTTCAGTTACAATTTAGGTCTGGGAAAAATAGAATCAGAATCCTAATGTTTTATTGCTAATTTAAGCATACTGAGGTCCAGCAACCTTCTATGTAGGGTGTATACTTCCTTTAGTCTCAATGAATGAGATATAGGTATAATATTACTGTCATTCAGAAATCATTTAATGTTGCTTAGATTCAGGGAGAGAAAAACCTTTTAGATGACATGGCACATTTGCAGTTTCGAGAATAGGTTGTGAGTGCTGTAACAAAATGACTGCCATGGAAAAGACTGCTTATTCAAAAAATTGTTGGCCTCATTGGTGAAAAATCATTCATGTGGTTACTTTGATATGTGTAGAAAATTATAAAATAACTATTTGAGGAGATAAAGTAATTTCCAGCAGCCCTTCTAGCTCTCAGGATGCTCTACCACCCTAACATCTTTCTTCTCCATTTCCTAGGCAGACATGAATACTTCCAAACAAAGCACTGGATTGTAACTACCTAATTTTATTTCCAAGAACACCTGTGATACTTGCATGGGGCCCAGATGCATTTCTGTAAAGGAAGGGGATGATTATTTATTTATTTATTTATTTATTTATTTAGTCATTCATTCATTCATTTATTAATTATTAAATTTGTATGCCGCCCATCTCCCCCAACGGGTGACTCTGGGTGGCTCATAAATGATAAAGGCTGCTGCTTTGTGGCATGCCAGTTTCTCACTCAGTTCAGATTCTAAAAAGTCAGCTGAGATGGGAAGCATTTGTATACATACTGATGTCTAAGAGGCACTCCTCCAAATAACTGGAGCAGGGCTTGATCAACTCCGTTTTTTTCAATGACTTGTGGATGATGAAACTGGCTTGCAGAAAATCAACTTATTTTGCAGATAAAAATATTAATGAATTACTGAAATATTCTAACACCTGCAGCATATTTCTGAGAATATGTCATGAATGCTATGACAACATACCCAAAGATATTCAGACATTCAGAGCACTTGTTAATGGTAATCATACTAATCAATAGAAAAATGTAGCTCATTCATGAAATTCTAATAAACAATGAAGCATGATTATTAGGACTAATGCTAAGTTTCATAGTGAAAAAAGAATTAAACCTACCCAACAACGCAGTGAGTTTTGGAAGAAGTCCAACTTGTACCATCTTATTTCTCAAGCCTGTGTCAAAGGAAAGATTCAGTAAAAGTCTAAGAGTAATATTCAGAAGATCTTCATGTTCACATGGTATCATTTTCACTAGTTTGTCAATTATATCCATTTCAACCTATGTGAGAAGTATGGGAAAAAAAACAAACAATTCTGAAGTCATATTGCAAACATTTAATACAAATTGAAGAACAGTTAAAATTTAATGATATAAAAATATTTTCTCTGTTATGTATCAATAATATTAAAAATTAGGCTTGCTGAAATTTCTCATGAATTGTTTATGGGTTTTTTTATTCCTAAAATACAGATAATTCAATTGTCCTTAATACATTTTAGTATTTCTGAAACAGGTTCGTTTTAGCTCAAGCTATGAGGATGTAAATCAGTGGTTGGTAATCTTCAGGATAACATCATGCTCCAAAAGTGAGGTAAAGAATGAAACAATTTGTTATTCTACTTCCATTCTGAAATACTGTATCTGTGCTTGAGGGAACGAGGTATTAGTAATACATTGCTTCAAATAAAGTATATCATGTTCAACAACATATCACTTTAAATTATTTTTAAAATTACATTTTGCTTTAAGAGTGGTATGCCAAATACCTATAACCACTATCAATTCAGAAGGGACATTTGATCATGATTAAAAGGTAAATTAAATTCCTCATCATCTTGGCAACATTCCCTGTTACATGCCTTCCTTTTAACTCAGTTGGATCCAAATTTAGTCAATAAAACTTGTTAGACATATTATTTCAACAGGCTCACTACAATAAGTATGACTAATCTACAATAACCTAGTGTATATTTATATATAGGATGTTTGTTCTCTGAACATCTGAGACTAACTTATATCAGCTGAACCATCTACTCCAATATAATATACAGGTGAAACTAAAAAAATTAGAATATCGTGCAAATGTTCATTTATGTCAGTACGGCAACTCAAAAGATGAAACCAATATATGAGATTACATTACATGCAAACCGAGATATGTCAAGCCTTACTTTGGTATAATTGTGATGATTATGGCGTACAGCTTATGAAAACC